GCTCTCACCAAAACAAACCGCCGGTGACCTCGACCCAAAGTCCGCCCACGCGACGACTGTTTATCTAACCGACAAAAATCACCACTCCCTTCCATCCCACACAATAAAAATCACACGCACGAACAGCCACTTGGGTGACATCACGGCCCTCACGCAATGCGTGATATCACAATCACTTCACGCACGTGCGTAGCACATGACATCACCGATCACGCACCTGGCACCACGCGCAGTGACCGCACGTGCGGCCAATCCATGACACATCGCGCGTGGGAGGCGCACGTGCGCGCTAGTTGCCCCATTCTAATGGCCAGATTATGCGGCTCGGTTGGTGGGGAAGCAGGGGAGAGTGCGCAGAGGGAGGGAGGAGAGAGAGAGGGGGGAAAGACGTAACTAGCCGTGTGGGTAGCGCGGTGTGGAAATCCACGGTCGTCGATGGTCGCTGATCGGTGCGGTAGGAGGGGACGGCCTTGGAACTGGAGCGGACACCAGCTGACGGGGGCGGGCCGACCGCGAGAACGGTGGAAAGTGAAACCCAACGCGGCCCAACACCGGAAATAGAGAGAAGTCGGCACAACGGTCAGGAGCGCTAGCTGACAAGAGGGGGGAGGGGAGACAGGTGGACTGATGTGGATCTGCGGCTCGAGTAAAGGAAGAAACAAGGGGCGGCGGATCCGGGGAGGGGCTTTGAGGGCTAAAGCCCCTAGCCAAAAAAGAAAAAAATTGCCGTCCTGCAGAGCAACGAATCAGGGCGCCGTAAAATCTCAAAATCACTTTATCCCATAAATTACATCAGAGAAGGGGTAAGATGTTGTCTTCGATTTTCACTATAGGCGGCCAAATCGTACGTTTTGCCGCCCCGTAGGTGGAAACCATATCGCCCTCATTCCATTGGCCACTGGCCGAAGAAATTCTGAATCCGACCCTGGAAAAGACAGTACGCACCTGAGGACAGTCCTGGCCCCATCTCAGGTTATCAAGCGAATGAAGGGATCAGTGAGCGACAGCACAAAACATTAGAAGCAGGTGATAGTAATGGCTGAAACAGACTCTTTTCGCGTTCAGGAAATCGCATGCGAGAACCTATTCAAATACATTGTAATTCTTCTCGCCTCAATCGCATGCGGGAGGTGCGTGCGATTGATGCGAGCGTGCTTCCATGTATTTGAATAGGCTCTCGCATGCGATTTCCTGACTGCGGAAAGAGTCTGTTTCAGGCTTTATGGATTTTCGAAGAGAAAACATGGCTTGAGTTTTGAACCAAATGGTTTGAGTGTAGGAGAGTTCAAGTGTTTTTTTTCGTAACCTTCTTCTTCGTACCTCGTGCCACGAAGGATTGAGGAACGTGATCAAGGGCTGTGAGTGTAAGGATGCTAAAATCAATGCAGCAATCAATGTTGAACTACCCCACGGAACAAAGTCCCGTTCATCAGATCAGTTTTCCTGATCCAGATGGAAAGCTAAGATGTGGTTATCATTTTGATTGAAAGTGCACCGACGCATCCGATGCTTCGATTCGATATTAGATGAAAGAACACAAAAACAACGATCTCTCTGAACCGGAAAATTGTTGTTGCTCGGTTTGCTTTTCACTTCGCTATCTGCTTGTCATGTCTTCAAAGAATCCTATCGCTTTTTGTCAAACGACATGCCCCACTTTCAAAACCAAACACAGCAACAAAACCATCTGCCGCACCTATAAACCTACCCATGCGCGACTTCATTTCAACACAGCGGTGCCGCTCCGTTTCCACAAACACACTCAGGTGGGGTGTCAACATACACCATCGATATCCCCACCGAGGCCGAGTTCGGAGGGAGCCCCGATCGTCCATCTCAATAAGCACCCATCAATTCATCATCCTCGCCCGCCCGCCGCTCGTGCGTCCCGGCTGCCTACCCTAACCTGTCACGGATCACTCGTCTCGGCACGCGCCGATCGCTCCCTTCACAGACCGATAGAACTGGGTGCGTGCTCTACAAACAAGCACACAAATAGACAGACACGCATGCATGGAGACGGTCTCTCACAAATATAGGCTTCAGTGCTACGCTCGCCCTACACACCCACACAAGCACACGCTTCACTGCCCGGAATAAACACTTGTGCTCTGAAGGTTGGTGTGAGAGCTGAAGGGACCTTGTCCTTATGTTGATCTGAAGCAGGCTGATTTTACGTGACGCAGAAACGTGCAATGAGTTGTCGTGATTCAGCATTGACGTGATTGAATCGTGAATGAGCTGACGTGATTTGGCAGTTGATGTTAACTAGAGCGATGACTTGACATAGTGACGTGAGCTGAAGCGCGAAGTTATAGAACGGTGTAAAATAATGCAACTAACCATGACCTGACCTGACCTGACTGAGTTTGTCCCGCCTAACACGACACAACTGTTCGCGCCTGACATGTAACATCTTCTGACACACAAGTGACATTTCCCTCCCCTCGCCCGTACGTTTCTGGGTCCAGCCAACACTCACACCCCTCCCCTCCCCCTCATCCCCCGCGGGGTTCGCACAGTGTTGAATCTCGGTCAATCGTCTGAAACACTCGTCACTCGGGGCCGACCCAAACAAACCGAGGGCTGGCTAGAGGAAGTCAACAGACACTCGTGTGCGTGTATTCCGTGCCCGTCGGGTGCGACGCATAGTGAGCGAGAAAGTAGTGAGCCAAGAATGAGGAAGTCAGTGAGTTACAATCATGACTCATGAGTGAGTTATGAAAAGAGTGAAGTTCACGACTGATAAGCAGGCTGCTTAGCACTTATCTTATCTGACTGCTTAGTCACCCATATCAATTCACCAATATACATATTAGTATTTCGAAAAGTAACTTCTAGTCAAACAGCTCCTATAGGCTATAAGGGGCCTCTTCACATGCAGTTTTATTGACTTTAAATGGCCTAATTAAAGTCTGTTAACTAGACTATGTCAGCGACAGCACACTTTCCCAAGTTGGTCGTAAAAAAGAGTTGATGCCAGCCGGCAAAAGCGCACTGAACGATTGCCCACTTTCGACCACAATTAACTCGGAAACAAGGTCGTTGTTTAGGAAACACCGTGCTGTTCTGTGTGTACATCGGAACGGCCACCTCCAGTGGCTTTGTTTCGATGTCGTGGTTTCCATGACAACCGTTATGTCCGCCTCTTGGCTGCTAACCGCTCTTTACGACCCCACAAGGCCCATCAAGTGAAGTGCTAAACGGGATATACCTGGTACAACTACTGGTTAGTGGTAAGACCCTTCTGCGGGCTGGACTCGCAACATTTTTCAAGTAGTCTGGTAAGAGAGACATTGTCTATGTAGTAAGAGAGACATTAAACATATTAGGTATGATCAACATTCCACGCAGGAAACCCTTAAAGGGACCCTCCCACCTTCAAAAAAGTTAATGAATTGGCACGAAAGTGATGTCGCTCGGTTCAGAAAGAGCGAAAACGAATATCTACCAAATTTCATCGAAAAATATTCACCGGTTTTCAAGATATTAGACTTTTACTTTTGTTTACTTTTTGGAATCTCCGCTGTTCCTAGCGACTTTATTTGAAAGTGCGGCATTTGTTGCGCGCAAAGCGGCATATACCACCGCGTGCTACCAAACGTTTTAGTAAAAGATTTAAAAATCGTTAGATCTCCGCTGACGTCACAAATTCTAAGGGGGCATACCAATGCACTAGCCCCTTAGAATCCGAAAACTGCAAGTTTGAAATTCCATATCTCCGAATTAAAGCATTTGTCGATGTTGTGAGTGCCCAAACCGGTATTTGCAGGCCATGGCCACCAATTTGGCTATCTCAACTCAAAACTAATGTTAAGGTGGGAGTGTCCCTTTAAACCAAGCGCTACCAAATGAACGAACGATAATTTGGCCAACTTTACCTGAAGAGACAGAAGCTATTTGTTTTGATTTCCTTACACAATATGTCTTGGGAAAAGATCATTAGACCTTAGCCAAACATCGACTGAACTATGACAACATTTTCGCACATTTCTATGCATAGGCATTCTTTTATACCAATATGAAAAAGTCCAGCGTATCAACAGCAGCACAAGTCATTGCTCACTGATTACATCAATTCGCGTTATCGTGACAACCAGTCTTGTTACTCCCCATATATCCCAGCAGGGAGGGACCAATACCCTCGGGATTTGTAATCATTAAACTCCCCTGGGTCTCGCCGGGGCAAATGGATTAATCCACATCCTCTACATACACCGTTTGTAAGATAATGGCACCTGATTGAATTTGGCTCCACGGTCGGTCTCTCCAAGACAGTGAATAGATGTAAGGCAGGATGAGGACTAACTTGATCAGCTAGCTGAAGAGGATTATAGGGGGATGGTAATTATAGCCGGTATGGGAAGTCCCGATGGAAATGAAGATGTGTGATCCACAATTTGCTACACAAAGTACGTGGATAAATGATGACAGATACTTTCATCATGAAGGCTGGATGAAACCGGACAAGACCGGAAGAATTGTGTAGAAGCTGGCTTTAGCTTCAAGGGATAACGTTTCACTTCACGTGCGCACGTGCAGCACAGCTTTCGCTCATTGAAAACGCCTTAGCCATAACAGATCGCGCTTAAGCTCAAGTGCATCAGTAAGGTAAAACGGTATTTAATTTCAATAAGTTTCAAGAGGCACGACCGTGAGTGGCATGTCAGTGATGCAGGTGGCTTCCTCCGCAAAATCAGCACGCACTTCACACAGGTGCCAATATGTGGAGCAAACATGGAATACAGACGCATGACAATGTGTGGCACCAAGCAATCATGCATCGGAAGATGACAAGAACGACACGATAAACTGGGAATAAAAGTGACCTTGAAGTAGTCCCTGACCTAAGAAGGCTCAGGATAGACCAGTAACTCAGAACTGACCTGGAACTGGTCACGATCCGGCATTGTCCCGTGACCTGACAAGTTAATCCGTGACTTGAGACTAGCCCGTGACCCGTGACCCCATGACCCGAGACCCGTGACCTCCGGACTCACCTGGGGCTGCTAGAATCCGTTGCGTCGTCTTCTCCAATCACCCCCGGCTGAAACTCGGGATGAAAGTACACCACACTCGACTTTTTGCGGGCCGGCGGCGGCGGACTGCTGGTGAACACCGGTCGGGAGAGGATTCTCGCCAAGCTCACAGGAGACCGATGACGCTCTGAGCCGCTGGGTCTGGCTGTCGGAGCGCCAGTGCTCGCCGGAGCGCCGGTACTCGTCGCCGATGCGCCGCTGAACGTCTTGACACCCCCTCCGGCGCGGCGCGCGGAACAGCAGGGTGAGAAGAAGGACCCACAAACGTGCGGTTTTTCAGGCGCTGTGTCTGGTGAGGTGGTCGAACTTGCTGAACTGGAATCGCTCGCCGCCGGGGCTTCTGCGGAACTCCCAGCGACCGCAGCGGCCGGCTGAGCGGGCACAGAGTCCGCCCTGGTCGCAGACGGCTGAGTCGTCGGTTCTGTCGACCCCAGAGACTCCGCTCGAGGCGAGCCCGATGACTTCGAGACACCCGAGTTCTCGCTCTTTCTCGCGTCGTCTGCGACAGAGTCTCTCACCGACTCGTCCCCTCGCGCTGCGCTCCCGGTGGCGGCGCCGTTCGGGTGTGCGTCGCTCGCGTCGCTATTCTGGTCACCACTCTCGCGTGTCTTTCCGCCCTCACTGGACGCGGGCGGGGCGCGCGAGCCCGACTGCTCCTGGGACCGCCGGTCGCTGGTCTGAGCGGCGGCGGCGGACGGACCTTCACTGCGACCCGCGGCAGCAGCGGGGGACGCAGTAGCGGCAGCAGCGGCGGGGGCGGGGGCGGGAACGGGGGCGGTGTCGGGCGCTCGGCCGCGCGACAGCCTACCCCGCAGCGACTGGAGTGAGCAGGCCAGTCGGCCGGCGGCGCCGCCGTCGGAGCCGGCGGCCGTCGGTGGCGGCGGCGGCGCGCGCCGGCCCGCGTCCACAGGTGGGGCACTCATCGGCGCCGGCTTACCGCGGTGGCTGCCGCGACCCGGACCAGCTGGAACAGACAGCGGGGGAGAGGGGGGGGGGGGGTCAGCTACTGGGGGCTGGAGGGAGTGGGGGGGGGCCGTCAGTGACTGAACGGGGGGAGGGGGTCAGCTACTGAGGGACAGGGATCGTCAGCAACTAAGGGGTAGACGAGAAGGGCGTCAGTAACTGAGGGGTAAAGGAAGGGGACGTCAGTGTGGTTGAGAGCTGGACGGAGTGGGGTGAGGGAGCGTCAAGACTGGAGGGTAGGGGTTGCGACTGAAGACTAGGGGGAGTAGGGGGGCTCAGCTACTGAAAGGCAGAGAGACGGGGGCATCAGGCGCGAATGACTGAGAGGCCGGGGAGGGAGAGAAAGGCGTCGATAATTGAAAGACAAGAGGGACAGTATTTAAGGAACAGATATATTGGAGGATTAGTACGAAACCAAACATTTCATTGGCCTGTTTCATTGATTTTATCGTGCTTTCATCGACTCTCTATGAGTATTTCACGTACAACACAACATCCATTAAATCGCAGACTCGTCAATGTTTGATGGCTCGACTCTACATCAACATGTGACCAATCACGGCCGAACAAACATGTTCACACGCAGCCACCGCGACACGACTGAACAAAAACAGCTCACGGAACACGGACAGTGAACACGATGACAATCGAACAAATCAGAACGTCAAAGGCTGATGGACAAATGGCTAATAGCTAATGTGCTGCTCGATTAACTTCAAAAGGCAATCAATACCATGCTATTGCAGGCTGTTCGACTTCGATTATAGCAAATCGAAACCTTTGATTATTGTGATATTCGAAAATGTTGCAATGCGGAAAGTTTTTATAAATCCGGGTCCACTTCGATGGGTATTTCTTACACAGGTTCGGATCTCTACCACGATCACTTCGATCGAGCGATAAACGAAGGGTGTTCTTGATTCAGTCATCAACAGCTTACGTTACAAACAAAGACCAATGAAACTTGCACATATAGTGTGACAACCTTAGAAAATGAACAAAACCGAAGGAGACGCCTTGTCCCTATGACGCTTTGTCGGCGCTCACAAAAGAGATATAAACATAGTTACGGTCATTTCACAAAAACGTGCGATGGCCCACTTCTTGGTGAGACCATCGATCTTTGCTCAGCACTGACACCAATGTATAAAACATTCGAACTGAAATATATACAGAATGCGGCACCGATTCCAACCCTCCCGGCCATAGCAATTTGCTGGAAAACGCCTATATGGCGAAAGCCTTTTTACGCAAATCCGTAAGTTTACACAAAAGAAGTGGGACGATGTATCGACGCATTTCTCAGCATATGACTTGGTCACGAGTTAATTTGTTTGAGTTGACCTAGATCTCTTCAACAAAAAGAATAATCTGCCTAGCTGGATACAAAAGTGATATTGGGGTCAAGTTGGGTCAGAGTAAAAGATGTTTGGTCACGTGTTTGCTTAAAATCTAAAAACAAAGATAACTAGGCCTTCTACCAGCTCTGACCATACATGTCGAGGACAACGGTTTTACTTTTGCTTTAGCAGCAACCATGAAAATAAAGTGAATATGTAAGTAGATTCTAATGTAACCAGCTGTGAGTTCCCGCGGCGAATACACTCTCATTGATTTGCGTTCGATTTTGCTGGGACATAAATACACCCGTGAAAGTGCGTTAGACGGATCAAGTGCTGGTAAGTACAGCTTTCTAATACCAATCTAACAGGAACATTCACTTAGGATATTGCATCCTGTTCGACTCAGCCGAAGAATCATCAACGTCATCCGCTAAATGTCACCGAAATGTCATCAACCTAGTCTGACAGTGATTATCGTTAGCCGTTGGCCAAATCGGCTACCGTTCGTTCATCACTCACATAAAAACGATTATTCCATTTGGCGTTGCCCTTTGCCCTGACCTGACGACTTTCCTCTGAGCTGGTGGTGCCTCTTCCCAACTGTGTATTCCGTCAGTCGTCGGACCCACAGCAGCTCAAACCGTCGCCATGACAACGAACACAAACAAACGTCACAGAGGCACGAGCTGAGAGAATGATTCGGCCTGGGCGCCTCTATACAGCGGGACACGGTGAAATGCTCCACGGCACAATTGTGCACATTATTGGGCGGCCATTCACAGTGTGCTCATATTCGAAGGTCATCTTCACGGTGTGAAAAGATGTGCCCGTGCGTGTAGTAAAGGGGCAGTTATCGAAATAGCTTCAGCATTGTAGCGAATGGGAAAGAATGCAATCTACCAAGATCTCTAAAATATTAACGTATATGATACTGGAGTCACTGGTTGAGTGGCTGATAGATGAGGGAGGTTGGTGCCAGTGTTCGCCACGGGCCGGGCCAGCCCAACGGGCCATGGGCCGGGCTGGGCTACGGGCTGGGCCGGGCCCCCAAATATCATTAGTGAACGGGCTATGGACGGGCCGGGCCAAGAGGTTTGTGGACTATGGGTTTTGCGACTTATGTCAATTTAAGAAAATTTGGAAACTGATGCAAACAAAACCCACTGGGAAAATACTAAAACTAAACCAAATTTAAGCAATGTGAAAGAAAACCTACTTGATATTGAATTTTGGGAATCTTGAGAATCATCCAATATCACATCATGTCACACATAGGAGGGTTTTCATAAAATTCCGCAAGCAAAAAGATCAGAGAATCTCTAGCATCATTAGTTTGTTAATAAAAGTTAAAATGTAGTTATCAGAATAACTTACTTAGCACTACAACTCCAAAAACTAAGAAGCCACTCAACAATGATTGGCTACAGGGCTACATTAAGTTTAACACTTATATATGGCGATAGTGAGACAATTCCAACACAGTCTCTTTTCCTTCACCGACGGCTTTTTAACGAACAGAACCTTAAAAGGATACTCACGAAGCACACTGCAAGTAACGAGGAATTCTACAGAGTATTTCGCGATGAAAGCTTCTTTAAATGTCCATAAATTTGTCAAAATAAATCACACAACAACAATCCGGCCCCTTCTCAACAAAATTTGCAATCATGGCGGCGCTATGTTTATGTGGCGGCATCTAGGTAGTATACACAACAGTATATCAAATAAATACGTTTTTTATGTAAGTATCAAGGTGAAAAACAAAATAAAACAAATAAAAAATAAAACTTTTATCACAAAGTCTGAAAACTCGAACGAAAAACAAAATAAAAACTTGATCATATATGTTTTATTATACAATTGGTCAAAATCGCTACCTGCCGCAGCTGCGACAATGAAGAAGTGTTCGCTTATTTTCAATTGATGATGATGATGCGTAAAAGTCGCAAAATCACCCAATGACATTTCAAGCTTACCATGTTTTCTGCTTACGCTGCTAGCGATATCCATACCTTGAAAAGAGCCTAACATAAAATAGCAAGGAAAGCAGCAGATAGTTTAGTTGTCCACAGAGATTCGGTTGACACGTGGGCATGAATTGAAAATAGATTAAATCAGTTTTGCTGATAAATGGATGGATTTTCTCTTTTTTGGAAGACAGTGCTAAAGCTAGTGTCACCTATTTTGTATGCTTTCTCAGGCTTTTGATATTGCAGCATCAATGGAGTGAATTTAACAGCAAGGTCAATCCCAGACAGATTCATCAATTCCCATAAGTCAAGCTTTTTTTCTGCTGGTAAGTGCTGGGAAGTATAGAGTAAGTTGCAAATACTTCCTTCAAGTATGCATTAGAGTCACCAATTATGCATGATAATGTTCACACACATCAGCTTGCAAGATGACTTTACTCATAGAATGTAGTTAATGTAATCATGTAAACTTTTTATAGGTGTGTAATCATGACCTAATTGACTGAGGTGCTTGCTGTTAGTGTTAAAATTTGTGCCATAGGTACTTGAAATGATTATATTCATTGAAAAGAAGGGAGTCATGATTGCCATGTTAATACATATTCATACAATTTGAATTGTTCTCAAAATAGTGTAATCAATCATGCTTATTATAGCAATAGACTAAGACAATAACTAGATTGCTATTTTTGACGGGCCGGGCCGGGCTGGGCTTGGACATATTTGCCAGAGCGGGCTACGGGCTGGGCTGGGCTCTGAACCCATGGGCCCGGGCCGGGCTGGGCTGGGGATTTTGGGGCCCGTGGCGAACACTGGTTGGTGCATTTACAACCGTATCCACAACAACACTGTCGACAGGGACGGAGAAGCAGGCTCAGATTGTCCATGCCCTCCGACACTGCGAGCATGCGACCAACATAATGTCGGATCTTCATTCGACGACTTCTGTTGGACATCTGCCCCGTTTTACACCACATTTGCTCCTGGTGAGCTTTTGTTGACAATAATTGCCCTCATCCTCACAGCACCACAAAAAAATATGGCTGGGTCCACACAGTGCAGCTAGTGGCAGTCGAAGCGGAAAATAAAAGTTACAATGTAGAGTAAGATCTGAGCTCATATCTAACTGGCTCGAAGGGCGTCATGGCGGCGAGTTATGGAAGTGATGATGACACTGACTGTGACGTTGACGGTAATGGAATCTGTGTTCTGTGAAAGCAACTGTGACCGTAACGACAACTGCGACATCAGTGAAGGCGAAGGCGCAGGCGATGATAGTCGCGAAGTAAGAAACCACCACCAGGCGGCCCTCAGGTCACCATTCAGCACCTGCAGTAGTCGACCACCATGAGGTGACCGCTACCGTCACACACCGTCACACCATTCTGTGGTCATTTCTCATTTCGTCACACTATCCCACGCCGACCAAACCATGCCCTGGGGCGGTACGGTACGGGGGGGGCGGCGGAGTGGGGGGGGGGTATGTGTGGGAACTGGCACTGGACCAAGGTCGACTGAATGGGCGCCCGGGTGCGACAGAGCGGAACTGAAGTACGGCGGTGACGTACTCACGGGAATATGACGTCATTGGGGGCAGAGTCGTTATGGCAGGGATATGGCGGAAAATGATGATGGTTGTTCAATGTTCATGACTGTATGTTGTAGCAGGCAGTCTGAAATTGAATGAG